CTTCTTACTGTCTAAGCCACTCTGTCCCTTCTCCTCTGCTCTTTCTAGAATACCTAGACTCTATCCCCTCACTCCTGGGCTCCCAGACCAGTGGGAGTTTTCTAGGTTACAGGTTAAAATTCAGACCTTTCTTGGCCTTTGGGGGCCCTTCATAAGTACCTTTCCTGCCTCACCTCTTGCCACTTCCCCTAGTCTGGGCGGGTCTCACCTTTGGCCGTGTGTCCGACTCATGGGGGGCGGGGGGTGGGTAAAGCCCAGGGGTCTGCATTTCCCCTCAGTCCCCTCGAGATCCTGATGTACGGCAGGACAGAGAACCACTTCCCTAGCCAGCAGGTGGCCTTTCGGCTCCCGTGGCGCTTTCTGCCTTTCCCCCTGCCACACCTCTGCTCCTTTACCATCCCTCTCTTTCCAGTGTCTTCCCCGCCTGGTGGGACCCAACTCGCACTTCAGACCCGGCTCGAATGTGCACACGCCTCCGCAAAGTCCTCTCCTTGTCGAGGCTCACCTACCCACTGTGCCAGAGAGAATGAATCCCTCCCTTTTCAGCACCCCCGTAACATTTTGCTCAGAGTACGTGCATGTCTCTTATCACACCTCATTATGGTTCCGCTGATGTGGGGTCTTCACCCTCTCCTGTTCTTCTCTGTTTCCCTGGTGCCTACGCAGAACTATGCTAAATAGGGGCTGGCCGCTTTGATTTGACAGGATGCCCAGCCTGCGTTTTTATTTGACTTTTACTGGACGGGATTTTTACCGGACAGGATGTGTGACCTGTATGGTTAGAATGCAAGCTCAAAAAGTACACTCTCTAAATTGATTTTTAAATTCAAGTTCAGAAGCTCATTTTGTTTTATTTCAAGTGGGCACCACATCAACATACTTCTGACACCCCAAATAATTCTTAGTGGGCCGTCGCTCTGAATCGGCAGTCTTCTGTGTAATGAGTCTGAATGAAGGACAGCAGTGCCCGACATGCTAACGTTTCTGTCGGTGGATATTTCCACAGTCGGGTATTCACATTTGTGGAGGATTTTGGCTGGTTATTTTACGTTGGGATATCAAAAACAAAGCCTCGTTTTTGAAGGATAAATTTTAAAAGAGGATGTGGTCATGACCCTCCTACAGATAGCAAGTGAAGAAAGAGGTCAAAGATTTTATTGAAGTCCTTTATTCGTGAGGGAACCGGTAAGGTCCAACACCTGGCTTAATGGGGAACTCGAAGGGCCACGCGTTCTTGGTCAGACCAAGGGATACTGACGTGAACTTGCATGTGGATTCAGAACTGCCCAGCGCCCAGGGTGATCATCGAGCACATTCCACTGGACGCGTTTGCATTTCTGTGGATAGGAATTATTTTGCATTACTGTCAGTTTTTAACAGTTTACCTTCTATCACTTCCATCTCTAAAGGAAATGTTTCCTCACTCTCCTTCCATAGTTTCTTTCCGTTTCAAATGATTCCTTTTAGACTAGGATGTATTTCCGTCTTCTTTGTCATTAATTTATGGATACGCCGTAATTAAAAAAGGCACGAGAAAAGCTTTCTGCCCTTCTCAGGGTGATCAATTTGAGTAGCACGGTTTTGTTTGCTTTGGTAGATCCCAAAGTTTTTGGAGCTCTGCTCAGATAATGTGTGGGGGATGCGAAAAGCCTGTGCGGAGTGCTTCATGGCTGTGTCCTACAGCGCGTCCCCGGAGGTCCGCAGAGCCCAGCTGTCACCCCTCTTCATCAGACTCATCAGCGACCCCTGCCGATGGGTAAGTGCGGGCCACTGGGCAGCGCTGGCCGCCAGCCACCGCGGGCCGACTGGCCTCGTCTTGGCCCCTGGACTTGTGTCTCTTCGGTTACTGATTGGCGTATTTAGACCTCGCGAGGGTGAGGGCGCTTAAAGTCTCAGAAGCTCTGGTGCTTGGTCAGCAGGCGGCACACACCCTGATGCCTGTCGTGAGCGAGTATCAGAGAAACGAGAAGGAAAACACTCTAACCGAAGAGTTAACCTTTTCTGTTCCTCTCACAAACATGCCCGTTGTGGTCCATACAGTCTGGTCAGCACTTTGTGAAGTGTGCAGTCACTCGATGTGGGATTACAATTCTGGGAGAATAGAAACCACAGGATGGTAGTGAGTTTTCCCTTATTTTCTGTTGAAAAATGGTCCGTTTGGAATTTGGAGAAAGCCTTAGAAAATCTGCCTCGCTAGACCCGATTCGGCGGACAGTGACGAGTCTGGTGGTCAGCCAGCTGCCCGGCCTGGGGCCTGACTCGTGTGGCCGACGCCACGTTCGCCGCTCTGTTCTCTCCGTTCGCAGGTGCGCCAGGCGGCCTTCCAGTCCCTGGGCCCCTTCATTTCCACCTTTGCGAACCCCCCCAGGGCTGGCCTTTATATTGGAGAAGACGGCCCCCTCAGCATCCGACCACCGGCTCGGGGCCTGGACTCTGATTTCACCCCGGGGTCGCCCGGCACAGGCAGTTGTGGAAGCACGTCCTCGGCCTGGTGAGCTCCGAGCGGGATGATTACCGGGGCCCGCGCTTCACCTCAAGCGTCCACCTAAAATTTTAGCAATTATCTTGTCTGGAGCTTTAGTAACAGTGACCTCCTGGGCAAGATGGAATATTAGAGCTTTAATTATGTAAAGAAGCAAAAAGTAATTGCAATAATGATTTTGAAGCATGACTACTGGGTTATAAATAATGAAGCTACTGTGTCTCCTAAATTTAGATAAAATATTCATTGAGAGTAGTGATTAAATAACCTGTAAAGAAAATTTTCTCTTACTTTTTGATTAATGAAGTTCTTTGGGTGACTTACGCAAGCGAAGATGTGAAATCCCTCAAATGTACGCTTATGCCGTGGGATGATGTTACGTGCACGTAAACGTGGGATATCGCGTGCACGTAAAGGGGCCATTCCTGACCCACCGTTGGCGGACGCTGTGCTGCTTCTCTAGTCAGTTCTAGCGATCGATCTCGGAGTTTTCTCATCTTTTGTCTGAGGATCACGGGTACAACGCTAACCAGACCGCTCGAGGTCGTTTGCAAGCGTCTCTCCCTTGTCAGCATCACACCGGAGCACGGGAGTAGTGATTTACACGTCAGATAGCACACCTCCTTTTTGAGACTGGTGCGTCCTTCCCCCCCATCGTTGTCCCTCCACATTCACTGAGCTCCTGCCGAATGTTAGGCCCGAGTGCACACGTCCCTCAAGACTCTCCCAAGTGGTGAGCAAATAGCACTCACCAGTGTCGCTCAGTACCTTTTGTTTTCCAGTGCCTGCCCCCTGGTGGGGTACTAACGAGCTGAGCCCTAAGCACGCGCAGTCTGGCTTTGGGCGTGTGGGTGCGGCGGCAGAAGCCCGGGTGACTCCCCACTTGCATATAATGGAGGGATTGGCTGAACTTTTGTGTGGCATTTTCACTGCATGCGATACGCCCAGTGGGGCAAAGGGGGCTGGGTAGACCTCTCATGCTCTCGTGAGGCTATGATCTGCTCGCCCCTGGGAGGCTCAGGAGGGTCGGGTGGCCAGGGAAAGAGGAGGACCGGGCCTGGGAGGATGTGGATTTCATGTTTACCCATCTTACTTCTGTTACATGGTGCTGAAAGTGCCCCCCTCAATCTTAACCTAGTTCCGCAAGGCCGGTGCGCACGGAGCCAGACCTGCCCACGGAAGGCACGTCCGCGGGAACCAGCAATTTCCTGTGCCGTAGCTCCTCTCGTGGCATGATGGGAAACTCAGTGGAAGACTCTGCCTTGGCTGGAGCTGAGCTGACCGGGCTCTCCCCAGAGGCCAGTGCCACCCTCAAGCTCCCTGAGAGGAACGACCTCCCCGTCAACAGCCACCCTGGACCCGGCTCTTGGGCCTGCCCAGAGAGTCCTGAGGACGTATTCAATAATTTCCTCTATTGGCGGACTCCTCTCCCTGACATAAGCAAGGACCTGGAAGAGCTGCTTCTGAGTGAGGCTGGGCCACGCGAAAAAGGCTGCAGCAGACCCGAGGCTGTGCAAAACAGCTGCGTGGCCAGGAGCGAGATTCAGAAAGTCCTTGATAGTTTACAGGAGCATGTGATGGATGATCCAGATGTTCAAGGTAAACGTCATCCATCGTGATTAAAGAGAAAACGGGGCCTTTCTGGGCTGTGCGCCACAGCGCCTGTGTGTGCTTACCTCGACGCACACAGTGCCCACGTGGGCAGGAGAGACTCTCTCGTGGTCTCCCCACGCCGGAGCTCTGGGGATCTCTGTGCAGGTACCTGTCGGGTTTCGCCTCCTGGTTTTGCAGCTGTGCGAGGCCGAAGTCGGCTTTAATAGAAAGGCAGATAGTTTGCGGGGCCCGTCTGTAGCGGTGGAAGTTTTATTAGCTCCTTGGATGCTGTTACATCATTTCCCACGTTATAATGCTTTTTCTAGTTACAAACCGCTGAGAATGGTGCTCCTTTTGGAGCCTATGAACTCAGCCCTTAGCCAAACTTGAAGGTTTTTGTCTTTGTACAGCAAGGAAAAGTGCAGCTTCTTCTCTGGGGTATTTTTCGTTTTATGACTAGTGCTCCCACTGAGCATCTGATCTGGGAGCCGGGCCTTGCAATCCATATCCATTATCACGCCTCTCCTTGCTCTAAACAGTGCTATATTTGTATTCTTCCTTGGGTTGGGGAAATTGGAAAAAACAACACTGGCTGCTGTTGCCGGGCAAAGATTTGTGAAGCTTTCGGGAAAGGAAATGTGAAAATCCAGTTAGCCCTCTGATTATTCTTTTTCTTTAAATTTATAAAGGAAATTAAGTCAATGTTTGCTGAAGGATTGAGCACATGTAACATATCACTTCTAATAGCTACAGACAAAGGTCTGTTTTTGGAAAACACATTTCGAAAGCTGCGTTGATCTCAGCGCTGAGACCCGGGCCGGGTGCTGGGGCAGCAGTGACCGACACGGGAGGAACCTCACGGTCAGGTGGAGGGGTAAACGAGCCACGGGTACAGGGTGCGGCAGGGGCTGGGACAGGAGGAGGCATGGCGCGCCATGGAAGCACGGGGCAGGACCCCTGAGGACAGGGGAAATGTCTGAGGGAAGGCCTTGCAGAGCGGGCAGCGTTTGATGTGGCCCCCGAAAGACGACGGCTAGGAGCCCGCCGTCCAGAGGAGTTGAGAGGGATGAGTTTCAGAGGGTTCCTTCAGCTCCTGGAAATCGTCGTTTGTAAAAGCTCACGTGTATACGCGTGCCTGATTTCTTTTTTGAGGAAGGACCCGTGGCTTTTCATCAGAGCTCATAGGGATCTGTGACCCCCAAAGTTTCAGAAATAAATGACACGCTGGCTCTTTGTGAACTGGCTGCTGCTGGAAATGTGACTCGGGCCATCGGGAAGGGCCTGGTGTGCTGCGTTAAGGAGGTGGGACCTTGCCCTGGGCCCAGCGGGGAAGCCAGCTCCAAGCTCTAAACATTTCAATGAATCTTGAGGTCTGTTGAATGTAACTAGTAGAAAACAGGATGTAGGAACTAGTGTGTGTGTGTGTGTGTGTGTGTGTGTGTGTGTGTGTGTGTGTGGTGGAGAAGGCAGCCATCTTGCTTTATAAATGGGGGAGCAGGACCCCTCACCGAGTAGGTGGACCTTACAGACACTGGCATTCAGGCACCGTGGAAGATGACGGAGGCAAACCCTGATTGTCCTAATTGAGGCGTTTCGAGTTCAGATTTGATGCTCTGTGCATGGCTGGTGTTTAGTTGGAACAGTTAAAGTTAATGGCCGTAAATATCACCGCCTCCCCGAGAGCTCGTTCTGGGACCCCGGAGCACGGCTACTGCCTGGACAGATGTGCGGAAGGCGCGTGCTCACGTGGCACACCCACAGCCAGGCTGCCTTGTTGTGAACACCCCTCTGAAGTGAGTCCCTGCAAATCAAATAAAGTTATTAAAATTCTTGAAACTTCTCTTCCTGCAGCTCAGGTTCAGGTATTATCAGCTGCACTGAGAGCCGCACAGCTTGACTCTGTGAATGAGCCCGCGCACCAGCCGACAGAAGGTCTAAATGAAGTGTCCGCTTCAGATCCCAGCCCTGCCTCTGACAATCAGATGGCTCTGTCGGCTTCATCATCACAGAAGGAGCTCTCCGTGGCCAGGATATTACAAAGCACAGTAAGCGTTTGCCCTCTCCCTCTGCCCCCGAGGATGTGACAGAAACCACAAAGCTGCATTTTCTTTTATTAATATATCTTGGCAGAGATGATAAATGCCAAATTTAATTTTGTTCTTAAGGTCATGTTTTGGATAACGAGACAACCAATCAATCAGGTGATTGATAACCCTGACTCTTCTCCACAAAAACAGGAGTGGGGGGACCAGCGAGTATCTTCCCTCTTCTCCGAAGCGGACGAATCTTGGTTCTTTGGGGGAGGATTAGCCACATACATGCCCTGATTCACTGCTGTTTTACAGCTCTTGGTAATAGCACAGGGTGGGTTCAGGCGGCTCCTAGAACTGGAGGTTGGCCCAGGCCTCACAGGTGGCCCACCATGTCCGGTCCTCGCCCTGTAGATGCCCTCTTGGCACATGGTCGCTCCAGTGGTGGCCCCGGCGTGCTGTTTCTTGGAGGAGAGACTTTGAAAGGCCAACGACTCAGCAGTTTTTATCCTGCAGCCTGGAACCGGCCCCCGTGAGACTGGGAGCCTGCATTCAGGGAGAGGAGGGAGCCCGCAGTCTGCTCTCACTTCGAGTCCCTTAAGCTTTCCAGCTCGCCAGTGGCGGGAGGCTCCGACGCCTTCCTAACTCCCAGTAACTTGCTCTGGGGCCACTTTGAGCTGGGGTCCTTCAGGGGGTGAGACTAGAGCTTTAAAATCTGGAGGAGTCCAGGACCATGAAATCATGGGCGTGCTGGCCTCTCCTCCGTCCCTGTGCCATGGTGGATCGTCTCATCAGGCCCTCGGGCGGCCGGAGCCCCAGCGGCTGCGCCACCCACACCGTCCGTAATGAGATCTTAGGGACTGAGAGAACTCCTCACCTCCCTTCCCCTCTGGGCCTGTTCCAATAAAACAAAACAAAAGACCCGCTTGAAAAGCCTGAATATAAGATGTTTAGGGGTTTGTCCGGGTTGTCGTTGATCAGTAAGAAATGAGGTGATGTCCTGTTTTGCTGGTTTGTTTTCAAAAACACGCAAGAAAACTCTCGTTGGTAGCGTGTTGCCTAGAGGGTGGAGATCACAGGTTAGGGAGAAAGGCATGGCCATGTCTGCTGTGGTGGAGATGTGATCGGAGTCTGGCTTCTTTGTCACGTACGGAAGTGAGAGAAAAGAAAATGAACAGATTCCTCGGAGTTCGCTCTGTTGCATGAGGGACTGGAAAGGGCTCGCGTGAAGCAGGCCTTTGGCTTCTGGGGTGGGTGCCAGGGCTTTTGAATTTGCAGCTGGACTCTTAGGTTCCACTGGGATCAGTCAAGATGCTTCCAATTGCAAAAGAAGGGAAAGGGAACAGAAAACTCCCAGAGCTTAAGTGATCAGGACAGTGTTCTCTCCCAGAGACGACAGAAGAGCAGCCGAGGCCGGGCGGCTGGCTAGTGCAGTGCCTCGGTGTTGACCCCGCCCCTTGCGTCTACTCTGCCTTCTTGGCTCCTTGCTTCTACTCTGTCTTCTTCGTGCACCGTCCGTGTGGCGAGATGCCCAGTGCGGGGGGTTGCGGGGGGGGGAGGGGGGGTGGTGCCCTGGAGCTTCTCACCTGTGTCTTGACTGCCAGGTGGTTTTCTGGGGAAATGACCTCCCAGTGCCTCTTGAGGTTGCTGTCACTGGTGGCGGTACGTTGCACCCGGGGCGAGTGCTGTGCGTAACAACTGGACCAAAGACTTCGGAGTCCGATTAACTCCTGAGAGAAGACGAATGACTTATTGCATATCAACATATACGCATTTATTAACTTGGAGAAATTGAGGTCTTAGGTTATCATACCAAAACATTTCTGTTTTGGGCTGGCCTCTGTTGAAACAAGCAGTACGTTTCAGTGGAAACCTGGGGGGTTGAAGATCGTGGTAGCATATGCCTCGGAGCAAACGAAGCATCTATCGGTGTATTAATCGACTTTCCTGGATCATATATTGAGCTGATTTGTCAGGATCCATTAAGCTGGTAGACAGCATGACATTTCAAGTGCACGTAGGAACCCATGTGACGGTTGGAGGAGAAGGTCAGGTTCATCTCTGCTAATGTAATCAATGATCAGAGACCAATATGTCACCGCTGAGTGTTCTTGCTCATTTTAATTGTTAACCTAATGTAAAGGTCCATCAGCAAACATTAGAAGTGTTTGTACACGTGAAAATCGAGAACAGTTTTCCAGGTAAATACTCCTTTATCAGCTGTGTCTTTTCGCTCAGATGGAATAGGTCTTCCCCTTACTCCGCTCCATCCGTCCCGGCAGGTGCACCTTGCTCCCGTGTCTCCAGTTCCCGAGAAATGCCGGACGAGTTTGCTCCGCGCTGCCTTCTGGGATGGCTTTTGTCTTAAACTTGTGACATTACTTGCCGGGCATTGATTAGCCACCCTGGGACCCTGGGGCTTAAAGGATGGTCAGTGCAGGTTGTTGGTTCTCACCAACATCAGCCTGTCCTCTCTAAGGGCCTCAAGCAGTCTTGAGATGAAAATGTACGACATCTGTTTGCCTTGGCACTTAAGGTGACTGACCTCTACCATGTCGTCTGTAACTGTGCAAATGTATTTTTTCACATCTGGAGAGATACCAGTGACTGGAAGGGAAGCACCAGTATTGGTCCGCGGAGGTCATTTCCGGCACCGAAAGAGGACTCCTTGAGGGGGGGAACAATAGGACAGCTTCCTGTTTGGGGTAAGTTGGTAACGTGTCCCATCAACTCTGCAGGACCCTGGCGAACCCTGCGGTGGAGTCAGGGACCCTCTGGAGACCGAGCAGAGGCATCTCCCCGCCCCACTCGAGGAGAATAAATCTAAATTACAGGTTTGTTCCTTGAAAAGAAAAGCAGTTGAAAACTTCACATTTTCTGGAAGTTAAATTTAAGAATGGCCAGGGGAACCAGAGAGTTCCCATCAATATTAATGACTTCTCTTCGTTCATCATCTGTGTTGCTAATATTTCCTCTGTAACTTACTTAAAAAAAAAAAAAAACACAAGTTCTGAAGGAGTGTTTAGAGTCTTTTGAACAATCTAGAACAGTATTTTAATAAAGCAAATCAAGTATGAGAAAAAAATGTGACACCTGTCCTTTAATAGTATCTATACAAGTCATTTCGGTTTTTGGGGGTTTTTTTGGTCTGAAAATTTTTTGACATATTCTTTGGTTGAACTATGTTTGACTTGGTTCTATCTTGTGGATTGGCTTCTTGTGTTATGTGAGGTCTCTTAAATCTTTTAAATGATTGTATTCCATTATCCTTACAGAAGCAAAGGTAAGTGGGTGATGTCTGAGGAAGGCGGTGACCCATCCCATCAGTTGGGAGAAGCTAGTGAAAATCCGCGTGTATGGGCTCGAGGTGCCAGGCAGTCACAAGACAAGGTGGTTTCCGTTCTCAAGAGCGTGTGCATCGGACTAACCAGATGTTGGTGTCTAGAATGTTCTCTGGAATATCCCATGTTAGGCAAATTTGGAAGAGATGGGTCTAGACATTGCTTTAGCCTCATTCGGTCCAAGTCGAAAATTCACCTCCTGCAGAGCAGTTCACCAATCCAGAGCCCTGAGCTTGGACGAAGGCCTCTGGTTCCTCTGACGTCTCTGCTTTGCTGTTTTCACCTCCAAATTCCAGACTCCTTGTTTTTCTGAGCATTTTCCTTCTCTCCTGCGAGCATGATGGTCTCCTTTCTCTGCTCTTTCCCAGGATGTGATACCTCAGCCCCTGCTAGATCAGTACGTGTCGATGACTGACCCAGCTCGAGCCCAGACTGTCGATACCGACATCGCCAAGCACTGCGCCTACAGCCTCCCGGGGGTGGCGCTTACCTTGGGCAGGCGAAACTGGCATTGCCTCAAAGATACGTACGAAACGCTGGCTTCTGACGTGCAGGTAAAGCAGGAACCCGTTCGGCGGCACACACGCAACTGGGGGGGCGGGGCGGGGGGCGGGGGTCATCTACTTGGGAGTGAAGGGAAGGGCCACAGGGCGTGCCGGCCTGTTTCTCATGTGGGTGCCATCTGGCACGCCTACCAGGCCTTCACGAGATGAACACTTTGGTGGCCGACCCCTGGAGGTGTCCGTTCTGCCCTAAAAATGCCATTTGTGCTCTTGGTGACGGTGACTCACGCTTGCTTCCCGTGATCTGTGTTCTGTGCACCCCCAGTGGAAGGTGCGTCGGACCCTGGCCTTCTCTATTCACGAGCTGGCTGCGATTCTTGGGGACCAGTTAACAGCAGCTGACCTGGTACCCATCTTCAACGGATTTTTAAAGGACCTGGATGAAGTACGAATAGGAATTCTCAAACACCTGTATGACTTTCTAAAGGTAGGAAGAAGGATTAAAAATAAAGACCAGACATTCCCACTTGAAAGCAATGTCTTAAAAAAAAAAACAAAAACAAAAACCCTGGCTGTGTGAAGGAGGAGTGAGAAACAAAAAGCAACTAGTCTGGGTTTCTTCGGTTGAAGTCTACCATCCAGAGTCTTACAAAGGGTGTTCTCAGTGATGGGTAACTGTTGTTATTTCTTGCCTTTCACTCTTCCTGTCCCTCGGAGGTCTCATCCCACGGAGGATGCTAGACGCGTAGCCTAGCGCGCCCCGTGAGGACGAAGGAACCCAGGCCCCCGGGGTGGTGCGCACCGTGCCCCGGGGTCACCCAGGGGAAGAAGCCGGCTGCTCTCCAATCTCAGTTCTGCGGGAGGGCTCTCTCTGCGAGACCTTGCTGCTTCCCTTCCGGCCTCTTCAATTTTTGTCTTAAAGGAATGATGAGTGTAAAAATAAGGCTTTAAAAAAGACCTAGAGAAACTAATTACTCACATCCACATGACCACGAGCTGCCCTTGACGGACTGGGGCGCATGACGCACCGGCTCTGCTTTCCTCTCCTGCTGACGGCAGAGAGCTGACTCCCTGGGAAACAGCAGTGGCGTTGTTTTCCGAACACACACGCACGTGTTGTTTTCAGGCAGGAAACTGTGAGAGGGGGAAGAGCTCGGGGGCATTCAGGAACACACAAGCACACACACCCACCGGGGCGGAGGTCGGAGGCATTCGGGGGTACATGTGAGGTCCCTTAGCAGCAGCCTTAATTCACAACCACACCGGGTGATAGACGGGGCTCGAGGCATCGGGGGAATGCACAGATCTTGCCGGGGACGATTGTACGAGTTCAAGTGTAATAAAACAATACATTTGGGGTCGTTTGGAGGGGTTCTGCACTATCATTTATGTATACATTTTTAAAAAATAGTTGCTTCATGAAGACAAGAGGAGAGAATATCTTTATCAGCTTCAAGAATTTGTAGTGACCGATAACAGCAGGAATTGGAGGTTTCGATATGAACTAGCAGAGTAAGTAAAACCTGTTTGGGGATATGAGAAGGCAAATTAGATGGAATAATTCTTAATTTTCCTACCTTATAATTGATTTCTAAGCTCGCAGTAATAGTGTTCTTTTGGATAAAGAGATTATGTTTTTATTAAGGGATAAAGTGAATTCCGCAGCACTAAGTTACAAATACCACGGTCTCCGGGGAGATATTCATTTTCTGATGAAGACAGGGCTCGAGTCACTTTGGAATTAGAGTGTTCTGCTGTTCTCTAAGGCAATTTATTCGAACCAAATAAAAGATGAATCACCCCCTCTTCAGTATTTTCCTATTAATTGGAAGAGTTTTTGCCAAAGCCTTCCCGAACATTCTGAGTATAGCCCTCTCTGCAGGGCACAGTGTGGTTATGCACTTCAGCTCCTAAAGAAAATTACGCTACAGAGAGAGACACGAAAGGGGCTCACTGAGACCAGACGATTGTTAAATAAAAACGTCCCCCAAGGTGCCTCCTCTGTGCACATCATCTCGTGTGTGAAGGACTTCCTTAATCCCAGCCTGTGCCGGCACAGGGAATGTTAAAGGGGTCCCTGATTCCAAAAGACTTAAAGCTGTTAATATGGCTCTTTCCCGAGGCAGGTCATGTGCTTCCCGCAGTATTGGGTGGACTTGGTGGCGATGGTGGGCGGTGGGCGTGTGGGTGTTAGTTTTCACCTTGTCGGGATTTATCTCGGTAGCTTTACTTTTCATTTTTCTTGCCCTCAACTAGAAATCTCTCAAATAATTGTCTTCCCTGTAGAAATCCATCAGGCTTTTGCAGCTATTCAGGCTATGATTTGGCCGATGCCAGGGGCAAACTAAAAGATTTTCTCTTCGCTGTGATCTTTAATCATTATGCTTAATTTGAGAGATTGAGGTTTTAGTCATTATGCCATGTTCCTAGTTTATATTCTCAGAGAACCGAGAAAAACAGGCCCACGTTTTCCATGAAAGCATTGCGCCCTCTAGCGGCAGCGCGCGGGAACTCGGCCGGGTCCGTCTCGGGGCGGGCCGACCCGCTTCCCGCTTCCCCGGCGGCCGGGGGCGGTGGCTGGGCACCGGGGATGGGGGCCGGGGATGGGGCCGGGGACCGGGCACCGATGGCGTGGGGGTGGGGGG